CAGAAATAAAAGTTCAGAGTACAGTCAACAGAATCATCTGGAAGATGGAAGACATGGGTTCAAAAGCCTCTTCTGTGCTTGATCAACTTTATGTAATAAAATAGTCCTACAACCAAAAATATGTGGACAAAGGTCCCTGAGTCTAGACACATTATGTCTCAGATGAGTGTCCTGAACACAACACTATCTCCTGTTTTCAGATTGCTCTCTGTGACTTTGTCCAATCCTCCCACGCTGGACTCATAAAGCCTTTCCTTACCTGCTCAGCGTTGAGTACATCTCCCACAAGGGCACAGGAGCAAGTTAATCCAGCCCCGACTTCACTCAGGCTGGCCTCAGCACTGCATCGACAGCAAGGCAAGCAGCCACTTACAGCTGTTCTTCACTGCCAGCTCAACACGTTATAACAGCTCATAATTCATGTTTTCACCTGTTCCTAGAGAAAGTGAAGTCCTTGTCTAATTGGGAGATTAAAAATCTACAGTACTTGCAGTACTAATTGGAGATACCTTTTTTCTGAACACTCACTGAAGTCATTCCTACACTTAGTCTTCAGAACAGTGACCTCTCCAAGACAAACTAGCTAGTGACCAGTTGTCCAGCTTTTATTATCCACTTAAGAAACAGCACTTCCTTGCTTTCCTCCTCTATCTAGCTTAATGTTTTATGATAAAAAATGGCACCAGCTCCAGCTGTTAAGGCTTCCTAGCGTGAGAGACAAAGGCAGAAGTCAAATGCTTTCTCGTTTCCAACCCCTCTGGTACCAACTGTGCAACACTGTCTGGGTAATGCAAGCACTGATGACCAACTTAGTTGCTTTTGTAAACTGCCAGGTCCAGATCATGCTGTTATCAATGTAAAAAAAAAATAAAAATTATAAATTAAGTTTGAGGTCTATGTACGCTGAAAACAAAGATAATTGTTAATGACTAAAGATGGTGTACAAGGCAAAAATCACATTTTGTTAGTGTACGAGTACCGTATATCACTCAATAGAAGACGCTACACAAAACAGCTTATTCAAGCAAATTTCAAAACCTATTACTGATAATCCAGGAGTGTACGTACTAGAGCACTCCATATTTTGCAAAAGGTTGCAAAAAAAGGGAAAAATCTAGGTGTTTGGGTTTCCACTTGGTATCGTAGAATAGGCACTTTGGCATTCGACAAAATTTCAATTTCTGTTTTTCACTAAGTAACTTATCATAGATTTAATTTGTATTTCTCAAGCTCAGGTTTATGTCATGCACAGTACCTGAAGAACAGTCGTTCAGTTTTGAAATACACTGAATATACCAGTGAACTTAAGGAGACACAAACCTCAAAAGAATCAGGACGATTTGTGCCTTTTTTTCTTAAGTATGGATTGAGATTTATTTATTTAACTGAAAAATCCCCCACACAGTTTCTAAACTTGTGGCATTCGTTAGGAAATAGATGTAGAAACTGAGAAATACTAAGGAAGCTCTTCTAAGTGAGTCACCGATTTACACGCTGTACTTTGTACAGCAAGCAGTGCACTTGAAGAAGGAAGCGTGTTAGAAACTATTAAATATAGATAGTAATTATGTGAAAATCATGAGGTCATATCGACTTTAACAAGGATCAGTGAAAAACCCTAAAGAGAAAAAGGATGCTCCATCAGATACATTTGGTAGAGCAGTGTTTTGGCTAAACACTCCTGTTTGGCATAGAGCACAAGAAATAGCAAGGACCAACTTTCAGCCCATAAAATCAAAGAGCACAGTGGATTTTGGGAGCATCTTTGGTGTGTCAGACTGCAACAGTTCAAATTACATTTCATCATTACTTCACATGCCTTTCTGTAAAAAAGGGTGATAGAAGTGGCAGCAGCCGATATTAAACACCGTTCTAAAAATGTGAATTGCAGAAGTACTAGAAGTTTGTCTAACCTAAATCTTCCAGCATACCTTTGAAACGTGCAATTCTCATGACTCCGTGATGACCATTCCTCTCTAAAGGCAAATTAGCCTCAAGAATGCAGCTACTGTTGAGCTGCATAGATTTTTCCGTACATACTGCCTTTGAACAATGTCCAAAGGAAGGAACACTTATTTTAGCAAAGATGAAAGATGCTAAAACACAACTTATTTTTGCCAAGACCGTAAAACCATCTTGCCGCTGCAGCCAGAAGGCTCTCAGCTCTTATCTACTCATGACAGCGCTTAAGCTAGGGTTGCATTTATATACTTTACAAGCATTTTTTCTGGAGTGGAGGATGTTGCTCAATTTTGTATATTCAACTTTATCAGCAGGGCTATACAGACATCATCTTGCAGTATAGAGCTAAAGTAGTTACAGGTTGTTAGGGAAACGATTCATCAGTAGGTAGGTTCATGTAAAATTCAAAAGGGCTTTTTTTCCCCTTGTTTTGCTTTTGGAGAACAGTCCGAGAAATCCAAGTGATGTCTTTCTTACTGGAATACTTCAGATAGCTAGCTCAACAGAAGCAAGATTTGGCATTTAGCCTGGGATTAGTGTGAACAGCCTCTTAACCAAACATTACAAAGAAAGTTAACTTTAAAATGCTTTGAAAGGTCTGTTTTCATGACAGATGGTAATAAGGGCTCATCAGTGCCAATTTTTTTGTTTCCACCTCAGTTTTTAAAAGCTTAAGTTTTAGGTTAGTGCTTCTGAGAAACCATTACATGCAAGAGGAAAAATGGAAATTACAAAATCAGATTACTCACTATTTTTATTGTGTGCGGTGTATTTTTCTAAATAACACTAACAGATGAAGTGTAAGAATTTCACCATGCACTTAATAGACCACTTTCCTTTTCGTATAATTGTTTTTTTTTTCCCTCAGATATTTCTCCTCTCATCTTTATCTGTACACCTGGACAGTTATTCCTCTCCCCACAGAGCCCAAAAGATGCACCAGTCAGCAGCAGGTAGAGGCTATGTTTGTAGAATACACTCACTAGGGAACGCATGGTAGAACTATATTTTATTCAAGAAAACCCACACATTCTGTCCTGTGGCGACCACAGGCTCTGCTAAGCCATAGATATCAGCAAATACTGGAACAAAATACAGTGTATCAGATTGAATCAAAGCATTTAAATTCTGAATTACAGTTATAATTTTCAGGGAAGGCTAGTTTCAGAATTGCATTATAGTATCTAGTACACAATGTTGTGCAACTGAAGTGGCAGAAACAGAAATGGAACATTGGTCCTAATAAAAACCTAAGTGTAATGAGTTTTATGCCATTTAAACTCTCAAAACAACAATTCATAACATTCTACCAAAGGCAGCATATAGTTACAAAAATACTGGTCCAGCATCTTGTTAGTGGTGAAGCAATATCCAAGGTGCAATGGCAACGTGCCATTCTTAGCGAAATATTTCTTAAAAAACTAATTTTTCTATTTTCCCCGCACTGATACTAGCTGAACACCAAAACTGCTATGACAACCTGAAAATCACTACTTATCATGTGTATTGCACCAAAGATTTATGCAAAAAACACATTTTCCAAGTTGCAGTATAAAAGAAGCAAAACCTAATAAAACTATGAATACGTCAAAAGACATTTTACTGCAACTGATCTTGGATGAGGAGGTTGCAACATCTACTGAGCTCTGAACAATCATCCAAGCTTGTCCACTCTACCCATTATCCCAAACTTAAGGATACAAAGGTAAAAAAGAAAGTCCTTAATATCGAGAACTCTCTTTATACTCCTCTCCATTCATCCACAAAATAAAAGATATTCCACCCTCCTCTCCTCTCAACACCTAGGTAATTTCAAAGTAAAGCCTTGGAATTACCCTTGTTCTGATATTGCACTGTGCTAGGATTGTTTCCCCCTAGAAGTTAAAACACAGAGCACGAGGGGTGACCAAACCTGCTGGAGACAGTAGACCTGCTTAACTTGTGGAGGTATCTCCAGAACTGTGCGTCAGACAGAGACACAATCAAAGCGTACTGCAGACTTGGCTGGAGGCTGGACTTGGGCCAAAAACGTATCAGCCCACCTGCCATTTCCTTTGAGAAAATGGCATCAATTAAGATCTGCGCCAAAAGATGAAGTTGAGTAAGATCAGGTACCCATGTCACATTCAACGTTACATCCAACAACACAGAAATGAAGCAGTGGCAGACAGGAATATTTATCATATTTTCCTTTTAATAATGGCTTAGTCAAAAGTGTAGCTTTGAAAATCTCTAGCTAGTTGTGAAAAACCTGAAGAAGCTGGGAAGCGACCTCACTTTGAACAGTACAGTTTAGAGCTGTGGCTTGGCCTATCTGCTTTCAAACTCTCCAGCAGCACTGCCAACCTTGTTAAAAAAAAAGAAAAAAGAAAAAAGGTACCGCCTGGAAATAAAAAGTCAGCCTTTAAAAGTTGGCAAATGTGGTATTGCAGCAGTCTAACTCTGACAGAAGAAGAAATATGAGATTTTTTTATACAGTAAACAAAAGACAAAGTGAACTGAAATCTTCAGAGATCACTTAAGTGTCTACAATTTGGATTCTCATCAACATTTAATACTACCAATCATAAGGTTGCCACCTTACCTTTGTCTGGACTGGCATACCTGATTTTAAACAGGTTTTCCTCCAGTCTCCCAAGTTTCTGATCCTCTTATCCAGTTTTCTGCTGTACTGCTCTCCCACCTTCATGCTGAATACCGAGTCAGTCCTGCCTTCTGCTTTTCTTGGCAGGAGGCAGAGCAAGCTTTTCATTTTGGTAGTGAGAGTGACAGAACAACAAAAGCACAGCAGATAGAAGAGCTTAATTCTTCCCCAGGAAGAAAATACATTTGGTTCAACAAAGGGCTGCAAAATCTTCCAAAGGCACCTCTTTCCCCAGTTTTTGCCTGAAAGCAAGATGGCAATCTTAATTGAAAAGGGATGCTAAATCTTTTAAATAACTTAAAAATTCATTTTTATATAAAGCAGCAAAAACATTTTTTCTCCGCAGAAAGAGAAATGTTAACAAAGAAACACACCAACATAAATGCACTGTTCATAAACTTCAGCTATTTTAATTTCACAATAAAGTAAAAATTTAGGACTATTCTTTAACCTCATCAGTACTTTCTGAAGAAGATTCTTTGGCATCTTCAGTCTCTCTGTTGCTTTTCTCTTTATTTAGATTTTCACTTTCTGATTTGGTCCCATTAAATAGAGAGTTTTCACCATTTACAAACCCATTCTCTGTGACTTCAGCATCAATAGCTTCATCAATCTTTAAGTCCCCTTGCTCTTCCACACCATCTAGGTTTCTCAAGACAATAGGGAGTCTAGAGTCTGCCACAGTGTTCTCCAGCAAGGCAATATTGCTCTCTTCATATTTCGGAAGCGGAGCTCCATCTGCCATTTGTTTGCTGTAATACTCTTGGCTAGCAGCTGCGCTCTTCACTGCTTTCTCCAAAATCTCTTTTTCACCTAAGCGCAATTTGATAGCCATTATCGCATGTGAAGTAAGGTCATGGGTCTCCAAGAAGGACCTATCATCCTGTTGGAAAAGAAAAAGCAAGTTTGTCAATAACAACCAAGACAACAACAACAAAAAAAAATCCCTCACTTTTTCTCTCTATGAGTTAATAACAACTGACACCAAGCTCTTCAGGCTGAGCCAAATGGATATATATGAGTGACGGGGTCTGCATGGAATCTCAGTGTAATTTGTTAAAAATTCATAAAAAAGCCAAAAATTTCCACACTGCATAATGAGTGAAGTCAGGGGACTTCACAAATATATGAAACATGTAGGTTCACTGATACGTTTGCAATGGCAGTACATTTCTTTGCAGTCTAGAAAATGCAACTAATAAACAAGTTTAAACTGTTTCCCCATTTTACTTGCAGAGAAAAAACAAGTAGTCTCTATTTGGAGAATCAAAGAAAAATACATTAACAAAATTACATTAACAAAATTTTCTTTTTGCAATCTTATTTGATTTTCTTTAGATAATGCAAATCTGGTTCTATGCTTTAAAAAGTACAGAATGAATTATGTACTAACATGGAGATTAAAGTTTGCAAAGACGAGATAGGGGACAAAATATCTTTTCCTACAATCACAACAGAACATTTCAGACATTTAAATTACATGTAATGATAAATTTACCTCCACAGTTGTTTTATAGGTTTTCAAAAGAAGGGAAGCTCTGGCTTCGAGGAATGTCCAAAGCTTAACTTCGTTGTCCCAGCTAACTGGAAACTCAGAGTTCCCCAGAGTGAAGATTTTGTCAATGGCATGCTCACCTATCAAGTGTTCCTTCAGCTCTTCTGCAATAATTATAAAACCAATCTGTTAAAAAACAATCTCATCATTCTCTCTGTTAGCTGGTAAACTGCAGAAAGATTTATTTTAATAGTATAGCTTTGAGCCACTACAATAAAAAAAAAAGCCCAAAACACATCCTCTCCTCAGGTAAGAATCATCAGATATGGAGGCTATTTCTAGGATTCTCCTCAAAAAGGCAACTGGAATTCTTGAGGTTCACAGAAAATGGACCTTCTGCTCCACTTGGAAATACAGAGGCTTTATATATCTTAGCATCTCTCACACAATGTAACTCCATGACAGCAAGATGGAATGTTTTGTACAATACTTAACTGAAGAGAGTAATTTTTTAAAGAGTTCAGTGAACTTTTTGATAATAAAATGAACTGGCCAGAGAGTGCGCAGATATCAATGGAATTATTTTTCTTATTGTTTTGGTAATCTTTTTCAGTAGCAAAGACTCCCTACAGTTGGTCAGAAAAGACATCCATCAAACAAATCTCACACAGAGCAGAAAACATTTAATCAGCTCCTTGACATTACACAAGTTCCATTTATCTTTTAATTACTAAATTTCACTTCTGCAAAGCAGCTATCAGAAAATTCACAAAACACTTGCAGGTACTGTTTCAATAAGAAGTCTTCCTATACGGTTTTTAAAACATATGAAAAATCTGAGCACAATCATATGGCATCTAACTAGCAATCAGCTATTAAACATTTAACCAGAAGTTTCACATACACAAAGTAGGTGAACATCTAATTTTACACATATTTCCCAACAAAAAAACCCAAACCCTTAGCGTGAGAAATGCTACAGTTTATAAATAGGTAGTTTTAGATTATGAATTACCAAAATACTGAAAACATTCAACTTTGAAATGTCTCTTCCATACTTCTCTTACAGCACAATATATTCCAATCCCACACCTAAATGATTCTAGCAGTGAAGGCTAATACGCTACGATTTTAACCATAAAGCACGTAAACCTCTAGCCCTTACATGATCTTATTTTGTGAACTGCTTTTAAACCTAAGAACTAAAGAACAAGCTCCAAAGCAAAGCTCATGCATTCACAAAAGCCTGGGAGATAAAAAAAAAATAAAATAATTGCATCATCTCATGCTTTAGAAGTTCCAGAAAGGCCCGTGATGCTAAAATATTCCCTCAGACAACACGGCCAAAGACTGCGTTTCTCACTAGCTTATAGGTCCATTTTTGACCTCAACTCCTCAACTTTTCCAATCTTTCAGCTTAATACTTTATATAATGACTATCACATTCCTGATTTTAAGAAAACTAACAAAACCCCCCCAAACAAGTGTAAATTAGGTTATCTTATAAAGCATCTTACCTTCACTCATACAAAACACTCGAAGGAAAGCGAGAAGCTGGGCAGAGATTGGAGGCTCAGTGGAGTGCAGGGCAAAAACACTGGAACTAATAAAAGAAATAACCAAGCAACAACGGTAAAAGCAAGTTGTATTGTCATACCTTTGAACTTATTTCAACATAAAAGACCTTAAAGTATACAACAAATGCACTGCTACGAAAGTAACCTTGAAAAAAAAAAGTAATATTAGTTCAAGCTAAATAAAAGCTTCCCTAACTTGTATCTGAAAAGAACAATTATCTCTACAATTTTACACTTACAATTATTTTTATACGGCTTTCATAATAAATTCATGAAAATGCAATGTTTCACGTCTGCTACTCCTAACAGCACCCTCTGGACTGAAAAGACTAAAGGAAAATGCTGTGGTTCACATACTGAGCACTGTCTTATGTCTGCAAGGGATAGGAAAGAAAGAAAAACCACAGATTGCTTCAAATTAATCCTTGCTCTGTTCTTGTTGAAATGGTTATTAAAGCAAAGGTGTTTTTCCTTATATATGGTCCAAAGTAGATGATAATATAGCTAAGAGAACTTCTGTAAATATTATTACAATAATTTTAATTTGCTATACAAACAGGAGAAATATTGCACCTACAAAAGTTATCAAAGAGCAGCTTTGTATATGCTCTACTGGACACTCTAATACTTTGGAAATGTTTTAAAAAACCCCATGGCATTGTGTTTTACTTACGTTGGGATACCAGCACGAGCTAAGACCTCTGCCTTCATAGCATACAGCCTGTCACTTTTACTCACGCCAAGCTTTATTTTCACTCTGTCATGTGAATTATTATCAAAGAAAAAACCACTGTGGATCACAAATTCAGCGTTTGACCGAGTGCCATAAAAAATGTAAATCTAGAAGGATGAAAAGAGAAGCGAAGGGACAGGAAAAAAAGCTTAAGATCAGCTCACAAAACTGACATAATTTGAAAGTTATTTCCTGAAAGAATTTTACTATTTTGAGTACAAGGTATATTTGGTTACATAAAGAAACACACTTTGTTTTCTGGTATCGATTCAAATGCTCTATGTAGTACGGCAATATACTTTAAAAGCAGATCTAAACATACCAGCATAACTGAGAGAAGAGGTTCTTATTCTACACTTGAAAATAAAACAAAAACGCTTTGTTTTCTCACGCTATCATAAAATACCAGTATACAGAAAGAAGCTTTCAAAGATCCTATGCCTTTTAAAGGCTAAAAAATCTGAGACAAAGAAGGTCCATTAAAACAAATGGTGTTCCTGGTGTAATTATCCCCCCCTTCCCCAATAAGCCCACTCAGAAGAGTAACTTATGATGCTGATGGATAAACTTTGATTTTGTTTTAATGTTACCTTAAGGCATGGCTATACCAAAGTATATCATACAGAGACATCTGATCTGTGTTCAGCCAGTATTTATTTTCATGCTATACTCTGAACCCTTTAGATAAAGCATATAGGTGCACATTAAAAAAAGCTCCTAAACATACACTGCAAAAAGTGTTTAATTCAAGGCTAGGCTATGTGAGGTACATGGGACAAGAGGTCAGAGTACTAACTGTCTTCTCCCTCATCAAGAGGATATCTTCCCCTTTTGTTCGATAACAGAATTGTCAATCAGAAAGAAAAGTTTCAACAGTAACAGAACTCCCTTCTTAACCTTAGGGACAGAAATGCTCTGGATACCTGTGAGCTTCCACTTCTCTGGCTGACAGAGTGGCAGAGTGTTCTCATAAGGGCTCAGCAATAGTAATGATGCCATTTATTTTGTTTTCAGTTTTAGATTAAAAGTATTTATCCTAAGCACTAAATGCTTAAGCATGATGGTAAATGACAGTAAATACACTGTAACACACTCGTATAATGAACAAGTGACCTGCCTAGGTATGTTAAGGCAGTGGTTAAGGAGGGAGTTGCTAACCCTCCCAAGTTTTAAAACTGTATCTCATATTGAACTAAAAGTCAGATATCACATATACGTTATATGTTATGCTCTTGCACTCTAAGATTGTTTTACAAAAAGAACCAATTAAACAAAATGAGAAAGTTGCTTTATTCAAAGCCAGTGTTTGATAGATTCTGTGGCCTTCTGCTGCCTCACGTTTTTTTCACAGTAAAAGCTACTCTTTCTGATGAAACTGTAAGAAATAACATCTGCACACTATATCAAAAGACTGAAGCATTATATACTTAAAATGCTTTAATGATGTTGATAACAGTTAAAGTTTGCACAGAATTTTTTTTAAAAAAATGAAACTGTGATCCTGTGATAAACAGCAGACAAAATGAAACCACTAAAATAAAACTGAAGTAGAGGAAAACACTATAATTGAAATGCAGAGAGCAGTAAGAACAGCTATATGACACAACCATTGCCAGCTGTGGAAAATCATAAATTGGATCACTTCTGGAAAAACTGTGGACCCCTTTTAACTCATCATACCAGTACTGGAAAAAAACAGCAAAATATTTGACTACCATAACAAATTCTAAGAGCAACACAAAAAGCATGCAATCACTATAAACCCCAGCATAGCAATGAGGACAAATATACCTCTGGAAAGACATACTTAATTTTTGCAGGTACATCTTTGTTAAGGTACTAATATGTAAGAAAAATTAAAATGAAAATACTGCAAAAGGTAAGGCTGGCAAAATAATACGCTAAAGGTAATAACTTGGAGACTAAGTTACAAAACATTTCAGGATGCTTCACAGGCAGTCTTTTTCTGACCACGCTGACTGCAGTTGCACAAGCAGTAGGAAAAACAGAGAGTGCCACTGCACTTGAGGGCTTAGGCTGGCTGCTGAGACAGCACAGGATCCCTCCTAGCAGAGGGAACACTCCTGGAACCACTGACTTCAGTGCACCACTAGTTTTAACACTCATTTTGTTTTCTCAGCAGTTTTGAACAAAATATTGCAGCTTGAACTGTTTCATGCTTCTTTGCAAGACTATCCCTTGGTACTTTCTGCTTCAGGATGAAGGTATATGGACATGTGTGTGTGTCCATGTGTGTGTCCGTGTGAAAGGGAGGGAGTATGTTTTTAGGTCCTTTCTCATTTTCACTAAGGATAGGAATGACAACACGGGCAAAATGACTGGCAACTATACTGTACTTAACCTCGTGTTAAACAAAAACTAACAAGAAATATAAACTGACAACATTTTAAGAAAGACTCTACAACCTGCTACTGCAGCCAAAGTGACACGCCAAACCTAAAATATATTCATCTTTGGCCCTTTGCACATGACCTTTTATAAATCTCATCCAGAACAGTAAACTCAGTGTCTATGTATGTGCATTTACCAGAGATTAAATATTTCACCTAGTTCTCTAAAACATGAGGAATCAAAACTCTCCTAAAGTTGGGGTCTACCAAGTGTCAGAAAATACTTTATTCTGAAAAATGTGCACTTAGTTTGGTAGCATTTTCACACGAAATAAGTGGGTTTTATTCTGCTGAGCTTAAACCACTCTGCTATTTTGTAGGGAGTTACCAAGCATCCACAAAACTTTATTAACGAACAATTTTAAAGATAACTGTTCACACTACCTGTTCTCCAGCCTTGAAATCTTGAAGCGCTACACATTCACACCGGTCATCTTCTAAATTGTAGCCTGTAGTGATCTATCCAAGGAAAGAGTAACAAAAGCACCTTTAGCATTTTATATTTAGCTCTCCCATCACTGACAAAACATTGTCCTCTTGGAAACTGATATTAACAATAGCAATTACATCTATTACTTTCTCTGCACAATACAATATAGCTGGTAGTGATTGTTTTACAACTTCTGAGCAATCTCTTCTTTTTAAAAAAAAAAAAATAAAAAAATCACTGCATTAATGAAATCTAATAGAGGAACTAACTTACCTGAAGTGAACAGAAGGCTCTGAGGAAAGTATCCTCCACAGACAGTCCTGGGCTAAAGCCAGCAGCGTGTTATAAAGTTCTAGAGTTTTAGTCACTCCCATGAGGCCCAAGGGAGCAAGGCACTGACAGTTCTATATGCTGTGCTTTATCCTTCAGTTGCCAGCACATTTTTGATGTCTCAATGAAAAAGGATTAGATAACTGTGGATCTTTAGGGGATACAATCTTCAGAGAATTATAATTTACTTGCAAATAATCCATTTATCCAAAAGTTAAGCAATACTCTTAAAATGCTAAAAGGATTTTTTGATGGTAGCAGGCAATGGAAGAGGATAAACTCTCTTAACCTGTACTTCTCTGAAAAAAAATAACAAAACTGTAAAGGGGTCACACTAACAAATAAAGCTATCCTAAAAACATAGTACTTTTTTTAAAGCGACAATCACCATGTTCTTGGTTAGTATTACCAAAGATGCTGACATAGATGCAGCCACAGGATGGAACATGAGCTGCTGAACAATCAGGAAGCAACTTACATGGTAGGTATTCCGAATTCAGTACTGACAGAGCTAACTTATGGAAAAATATGTTCTAGGCCAGGAGAAAAATCTAGCAGATGACAAAGATTCTCTCTCAGCCTTTGTAAATGAAAGCATAATTTTTTGTAAGCTGCCTGACATATGATACCCAGTGGTACACCCCGATTGACTCCCACCTTGGATGCAGTTTGTCCAAAGACAGAACTCCACAGATTATTTTGAAAGCTTGGCTGACAGTTACACATTAGTAGTTTTATGCTGCTTGCATCATCAAGTGTGCGTTTGTCAGCCAAAACAAGCGCTTTCAAAGAGAGCACGGGGAATTTGTCTCCAACGCAGCAAATCCAAACCGGCAGCCCCGAGCCCGGGCAGCCCAGCCCCGCAGAGGCTCACAGAGCCGCTCTGCACGCAGGTGGCACTACCGCACAGGTCTGCGGTGTGTGGAGAGCAGAAGAGAACACGACGGTCATACAATACGGCCCGCTGCAAAACACAGACTGTACCACCTGAATGCAGAAATTCCTCTACATTCATTATGCTGGACCAAACAATTTTTAAGAAAGGTCTCTCATTCAGAAGAATATCTAACTTTGAATTGCAGGTTAAAAGTGCTGGGGGATTTACCTTCCCACAAATACAGTCACCTTCTGAAAAACTGTAACTTCAAAGGGAACTCTTAACAGCACTTGACCTGTCCTGAAGCCTTCTTAGTGTGTAAACTCAATGAAATACTTCTGTATGTGAAAAGTCCATTCCAGTTTCTTCAAACACCTGTGTTACAGGAGGCTTTCAAGGACTGGGGAAATTCCAGTATGTTAAGAGAAGGATTCTGTCAGTTTAAGCATGCTTCACTAGAGTACTGCTCATTTTTCAGACTGGTTTTTATTTTTGCCATTTTTTTATATAAGAAGACACAACACAGTAGCACTTCTGAAAAGCTTTTCTATAAAACATAATGGAGTGCTAGACTCTTATTTCCTCTTTCTTTTAATAGTAGTCATGTAAGAGAATTAACAGGGTGTTTAATTCTCTTCCCACATGATAGCTGACAAATTGCATCCCTTCAGTTTTATTTCTGAAGCAGATCGATACATGAATTTCAAGTTGTGTACAACGCATGCAATAATCTGCTTGGTCAGTGATTAAGGATGGACCCAGCCCAACAGGCAGAACGTAGCTTATTCAAATCTCTGTCAGAACTGGTGATCAACCTCTGACTGTCAAAATACAATCCCACTAAAGAATAACAATGAGAAATGCATGAAGACAACCATTTTGATATCGTTCTTAGAGGCAGGTTGATCTAATTAATAGTGTCAGAAGCAAGAAAAAGCTGGATGGACCTAGCTCCAGTGAAAACCCAAAGAGCATTTTATAATCTAGCTCATGGAAAGGGGCCCTGTGGAATAAAGCAAGAACAAGGGTGTGTAGGAGCTGACTGACTCGAGATATTTCAGCACTACGCTTGGAATAGACTAGCAAGGGGTGTGTACAACGCCATCTTTTGTTTCTTACTTTTCTGCAATGAAAAACAATTCCCTTCATGTATTTTCAAGGGATCTGCTATGATTAGAGCAGAACCCATCCTCATCTCATTTTACAAAAATACAAACTACGTTACAGACAGCTTACAGTTATCTTAGTAACGTACAGTTATTGCAACAGTTTTCCCATTTCTAATACTACAAGGAAACTAATGCACAACAAAAATAGCTTTAGTAGCTTTTCATAGCCCATTATCAATATTACAGTTGTCTGTCCCTCCTAAATCTAAAACCATTTAAACAATTTTCTGTAGAGATACGAAACAAATGAGTGAAACCTGGATATACATACAAAATATTTAAGCTCAGCACGCCCTCCCCTCACCCTTTAGGATACACTTCAGCATAAAAAATGCTTCTAACCTTGATATACAACTGCATTAGCAGGTTTGGCTCCAGAGGCTGGTTCCATATCAAACTCATTGTTAAAGAGCACAATAAAAATAAAAATTACTTTATCAATTTAAATAGAAGTTTGAATAATTAAAACAACATAACTAGCTGCTCTTTTAATATAAGCTACTTAATTTTTTCCCTCCCAGAACCTTAATTCTCTTCCTCTTTCCTCTAATCCAAACTTTGAATGTATTCATTAAGAGTTGTCTCATGAATACAGACAAGTCTCTGCAAATGCATCTGAAAGAGATGCCCAGCAGAAAAAGGGTACAGGAAGTACTGACGCTTGCAGCTAAGACTTATAATATAAAAATACACATTTCTGAATTTTAAGCAATTTTCTTTATATTAGAGAGTCTTATATAAGCTTTATTGCTAAATCAAAGTTGTAAGATTGCATAACAAGTAGTAAAAGGCAAAAATCACTGTTAAAGAACAATATGTAACCATCTTTTAATAGGGAAAAACACAAATAAATACCCCCTTGCCCCCCCGAACATTTGTAACTTTGTAGCCAAACCTATGCTGTATTAGGTATAGTTAGAATAACAATAAATTAGCTAAAAGGTAAATTAGGTAAAAGCAACTTGGTTTACAATTTGTTCATTTAAATCAGGCTTTTCTTATTCCAACAATATAAACGCATGCTGCTGTCCTAATGCTCAGGTCAATTCTTCCCCAAAAGAACCAGATTACTTGAATAGTACGGTCATATTCACCACTTACAATAAATAATACTATCTACTGGAAACACAATTAGAGGATATAAATTTTGAAGTGTACATAAGACTGGTTAAATAACATTGATAAATCCTCCTCTTATGGGTTTCCATTTCCTCCCTTCAACGTTAACCAGCCTGTTAATGAAATCAAGACCTCATCCTCTGAACTAGCTCACGTAAGCCAAAATGTCAGCACGTCTGACTTTCTATATACATATGTCACCTTTTAAATGTTTAATATGCCCTAAAGTAGTATTTTTGCATTTTGTTTCTTTGATGTAGTAACAGATGTACTGTTTTTGTTGAATTAAGCTTTGTTCTTCTTGTTGCTGTCTCCATAACAAGGCTCTTTGGGCATGGTTAGGAGAGCCGGCAGTATTTCTTAGTTGCAAATTTCTAACCACTTTCCCCAGTGGTAGCTACAAGAGGCAACCTCCATCACTGTCTGCCTTCCTATTCTCAGAATGAATCTGTTCAGTATTGTGTGTCTCTTTCAGCCTGTCAGAAACAAAACTCCATGTCAGAAGAATATTCAAACTTGGCTGGAAAAAAAAGGTATCATGTAACTGCAAACCTTCAAAGGTACACTATGTCTGTATGAGACATAACTTGATGCAAGTATGCAATCACTTCTCAAGTTTTCTCCAGGTGAAGAAAGTTTTCCCTGAAAAGCTATTGTAAGACATTTAAGAAACTGACAAATCTTTCTTTCGGATATTAGTTTTTAGGGTCACTTGGGAAGATAAAATACCTGTGTTAAGAAGCATAATTAAAAGTGTTATTAAACTGCTCTTCAGCAGTGAAAGGCTTAATACTTAAGCCCTAAAGCCTTTCAGCAACACTTAAGAAATCCTTACCAGTCCATTAGTATGATTACACATGTCCCATAAAGGTATTAGAGCCAATGTAACTCTGGAACCGTCTTCTGTTGGAATCTGGTTCTGCCGTGTCATGACAGAAGAAACCGCCCATCTACAAAAATTAAAAACATTAGATGGCAAATGTTCAAAACATCAATATATGATTGGCTGTAGTTCAACCTGAAGCAATCATTTAGGCTGAAAGTTTCCAAATTTAAAGATCACACTGGCTACAGTAACAGTAGAAAGCAACACCACTTGCAGGAGAAGCAACACCTCCCAGGTTTCCAAGACACACAGACCAATTCCAAAAATCAGGATTGCAATCCCACCCCTCTTCTGCTCTCTCTACAACAGAACCTCCACATCTTCCACTTCCCTCAGCCAGGACTCACCCTCACGTTACCTTCTGCTTCCCCAACCCTTCCCCACACACACATCCCCTCCTCTCACTACACAGCCCAGACCGGGGGTCAGCTACTCCCTCGTGGGCTTCCAAGTAGCTCTCATCTATGTGCAGACTCTTGTAAGAGCCAGGGCACATTGCTCCCCTTGCTCCTGGAAAAGCCCAAATACTCCCAACAGATTTCCAGGGAAAAAGAAGGAAGGAAGTAGAATAAAGTTTAGCACACAGACATCATTCAAAACCCTTCAAAGTCAGGTTAAGCAAACAAAATATGCCAGCTACCTATTCAAACATAGGAATCTTCAGAAAAGCTTAACATTTCATTGTTTTCTGAAATTTTGCTGCTACTTTATTTCAGACAAAAAATAATATTAAATGCCAGAGGGGAAAAAAAAAATTATCTTAGTCTTACTGTGCTCTAGCTTTAATATATGTATTTGCTGTGGGTTTTTTGAGGAGAAAAACCAAACTAATTTTAACTCCCACAGACTCCATTACTATCAACTATTTAAAATTAAGAATTAAGATTTTTCAGAACTATTTTTTCAGAAGGACTACAGACTGCTTTGAAAGATATCATCAAATTGAAGTCTAGTTAATTTCTGAAAAGTTAAAATTGTGGATAAATTGTTGATAAAAGCTGCAAATACTAGTTTTTACTACTATATGCTGGTAAAGTCTTTTTTAATAAAAGAAGTTTTTTAAAAAATCCCAAACTCAAAACCCGAGCGTCCTGCAACATCAACTGAATTATTTTAAGAAACAATGAACTACCTTACTAATCTCAGACTACACGCTAGTTGGCTAAATTAACTGCTCATTACTATTCCTTCATAACAATTAAAATTTGCATATTTATTTTACTTTCTTCTTCATTAAGAAAGCATATTAGTATCAAATCCTAGATTTAAAATTTCAATAACAAGATAGCTTTCCCACCAGTGAAGTATTTTCAGGGCCCCACAGTTCAATATCTATTAAGAAAAAAAAAAAAAAAGAAAAAAGTAATTAAAAGACAGACCAACCTGTAGTCATCATAAGTGAAAGAATCCTTTAAGGGCAGTTTGCTGGCATTAGGATGAGTCTGGGAAATGTAAGTTTCAGAAAAAGGTGAAAAGAGAAAGAAAAGAGAAATCAGAAATCAGTCAGCAGAATTTCATTATTTAGCTGCCTAACAGATCCTAACAAGAGCCAAATGAAGCAGGAGGCGTCCAGCCGCGCTACAGAGGGATCATCATGCTATTATGCTCTCATACATCACTGTCAACTTAATTTGTTGTGCCCAGCAGCCGCCATAAATCTGCTTCTTCATATTTCAAGTCTGGAACCCACAGACATCATACAAAAATAAAAAATTTAAGGTGGACCAAGTATGGGAAGGTAAAACAAAATCCAGCCCTTGATGCAGGGTGAGGGAAAGCAATCAGACAGTAAATATACATTAGGTTTCTTCAGCTTCCACATTTTCCTCTTCTCTGGGATATCATTAAGGTGTTAAACATGACAGAAAAATTATACAGGATTTTCAATTCTTCCTCAATACTTGTGTAAAGCGGCTATTCAGTAAAAGTTGCACTACATCTTTGAAACAAAATAGATTAAAATATTTAAGCAGGTTTGGTGACAAATACCATTTAGACAGCATCTACATTAACCTATCTACACATGCTCCCATCTAAAAGCAGAGCAATGCCATTTGAGAATGCCTGCTGTAGTTGTCATTAACCAGAAGAACATTTCGATTTTAAAAAGGCTTTAAGAAGCTGTAATACTTGTTACTTTTGTGATCAATCAACTTACTAAGAGTTTCAGCAATACAGGTAGTTTTAAGTCCACACTCACTTTCTTCAGAACGTTCCTCCAACTCACAAATGGAAAGACATAATAACATAAATTTTAATCTCTGGGTTCAATTAGGTCTCAGAGACGAATTGAAGCAAACGATCAAGCGGTTATTTCAGATAATACAAATGATTTTTTGCATAACTGTCTTTGCGACACTCTTAATGCACGAAGCTCCACGTAGTACGCAGTTTTTTACTCTTGATGCATTAGCATCACAAGTGCACGGTAATTTATCATTTCTCGCTGTAATGTACTTGCTGGCACCGTGTGCAGGACAGTAGGGGACGAGGTAAAAATGGCTCAAACCGTAAATCAATTAGAAAACAAAAGCTTGTGCTCAGTGCACAATTTTAGGCAAATTATATCCTACAAAAGACTGCCAATTGGGTGTTAGGTCCCAGGTGTCTGTACTCCCCCAGCCCCTCTGGTTAACCCTTTGGCTGGGCTTTCTCTGAACCACGACCGAAACCAACAATTCCAGCGACTCCCGGCCCTTCCCTCACTCCCTCCTCCCCCGCCCCCCTTTTTAAAGCGATTTTCATTCACATCGGCGATATGGTCATCGCCTAACAAATTCCCTCGAGTTTAATTGTAGCAACGTTGCCTTAAGGAAACAGAAACACATTTTACAGTTACTTCTTCTGACAAAAACATTCCATACCAACCCCCCCATCCTCGAACTCCCCCAAAATTTCAGGAGGCAGCTTCGCTGCAGCCCGGATGCAATTCGAGTGAACGCAGAAACTCAGTCTTCAACTGGAAGTAACAATTCCTAAAAATGCCCGCCGACAATTTGAACTTTTATTGCTGGCGTTATGAATCCATTTCACAGCAGCTTGATAAACTAAGCAGAGAAAGTCAACAGCAACAGTGAGACACACAACGCCACCGGTTTCACTTTCAAAACCCCACGCGTCCACCCGTGACACGGCTATGGGTCGTGGGAAGCTGGAATCTCATTCTTAAGTCTGAGAGGGGCGGTTTTACACGGGTCGCGATTCTCGAGAGCCCGGCCCTTGGCCCTTCCAGCTACCCG